TGTAAGTATTCCCCATTTTAGATATTATGTTAATTTTTTAGCACTTTTTTTTTTCAAAAATTCAAGTGAAAAATAAAATATTCAAGGTAAAAAAAGAGAGATCTCTTTCATCACGAGATCTTAAAATTTCTTTCTTTCAAAAGTGTTTTATTTTTAAATTTAATTTGGTTCGACTGCAGGAGGTTAAAGCTTTTAGAATCAAGACCGCAAAACTGATTTTTGGAAATCCTTCTCGTTGAGCACGATTATAAATACATTGAAAGTAGACACCATCGTGAAAAGCACCTACTTTGAAAATAGATTTTTCTATTTAAGGATTAATGTATCCATAATTTTCATGCCAAGTGCCAGGTAGCTATGTCTGGAGTTTGAATGACAGCAAATTTAAAATCTCTAGCACCTCTAGTCCTGGGTCTGACGATAAACCTCATTCGGCAGCAAGGCTTCTGACCTGAAGATTGGAGGTTTTGAGAAACGTAGAACCACTTCTTAACTGCTGTTGTCTCACCCGGGGTGGTAGCACCTATTAGGGTCCCAGTTATAAGCAAATAGTGAACCCACAACCACAAATGAAAAAATATGAAAATATAAAAATACAGTTTTATACTAAAATTTCTAGCAATACATTTTTATACAAAAAAATTACCTACAATACATATTTATGATAGAATTACTAAGAATACATATTTATAGGAAAATGACCAAAAATCGTTATTTTCCAAGCGTAGCTCAGATGTGGCAAAACCGAAAGTATGGGATACCCAGTGAGGATTAAACTCATTACGGTTGTAATCGTTCTAGCGAGACAAGCTCGATAACCATTAAACCACCTCGACATACTACTATAAAAATTGATATAGTTACACCACTACGACATACTACTATAATAATTGATATGTCCCGGAAAGGGATATATTTGAACGAAGTAGCTAAGTGATTTTGGCTACCATAACCAAATAGTACACGGTAGCAGTAATCGACTGGTACTCGTCGTAGCCGCAGATAATAGGTGTAGACCAATAGGATAGCCAATGGCGTAGTCCAATGGGCGTCGTCATAGACTTAGACTCTCTCGTACCTACACGTCCGTCTGTATTTATGACGGACACCAGCCAATCATATTCCAGTGAGGGGGAACACAGGTGTATGCATATTCCATTAGATCAATAATAATAATAATAATGATAATAATAATAATAATAATAATAATAATAATAATAATAAATTGATCATCTTCTACCAGGTTGCAAAACAATTAATCATCTTGTATCAGGTTGCACGGGGTTGGCACCCTCTGAATATAAAACCCGACATGACAAAGTGGGCCAATATCTGCACTGGAAAATTTGCAACTTCTATGGGAAACTGAAAGAAATTGGTATGAACACCACCCAGACCCGGTTACAGAGATAGGACCTTTCACAATTTTATGGGACAACACTATACACACAGATAGAATGAATCGATATTTACCTACAATACATATTCATAATAAAATTACCAAGAATACATATTTATAGTAAAAATGACCAAAAGTAGTGACTTTCCAAGCGTAGCTCAGATGTGGCACAAGGCCGAAAGTAGGGGACACCCAGTGCGGATCGAACTCACTACTCGGTTGTAATTGTTCAAGCGAGACAAGCTTGCTAAACATTACACCACCTCGAGGTATCCGGAAGAATCAAGAATATGTTTTTAAAGCAAAATATCTAGCAATACATTTTAACACTAGGATGGCCGAGGTGTCGTTTTCGACACCTTCAAATTTTCAACAAATTCCTATGGAATAACTAGTTTTGGTTCGATGCTGAGGCTTGTGGACAATTATTGAATTTTAGCAAAGATGCTTAACAGACTTAATTCTTTAAAAAATATTCAGTGGAATAGCTGATATTTGAGGTTTTACCTTGAATGGCCGAGGTGTCGTTTTTTGACACCTCGGCTATTTATAGGGTAAATGCATTGAAAGATTTCTTACAAGCAATAATACTTGTGTTTATGTCTCCTATCTATCTATTTATCTATCTATCTATAGACACACACACACATAATATATGTATATATGTAATATCACTTTCTTTCTGTATGAGGTATACTAATATATGTGAATTTCTTTTCAGACTTGTTATTCCTGACTTAAATATTGAATATATTAAAGATGGCTGCTTCACGGCGTAATGTAAATAAAGATGTCAAAGGAGCTGGCCATCCTAGTGTTAACTGTAGTTGAAGGCATACAATTGCGTTAAAAATATTTAGATTTCGGCATTAAATACCCATAGAGTTTGATATTCGCTAAACAGAGTGAAACTACTAAGCCAAGATGAAAGAAAAATTTCATGACATTAATCCATATAATGTTCTACAATTTCTTATAGAAATCAAACTGTATTCCAAAATATAATTTCTACAACATAAAACACACATATCACCGCCTCTAGTAATTATATCTACACAAACATGTATATGCATAAAAGCTAAGTATCATCTACCATTTATCAATTGTGAAAACAGAAGATATATCATATTTTTATCACTTCAAAGCTTCCAAGAATAATTGAATTTCGGCATTAAATGACCCATGAAGAATCGATATGCCGTTAAACAAAAAATCAAATTAAATCAATCCAGCACCCCAGTTGGTATCCCTATACCTTTTATTAACAGTGGACAATATGCTTTTCATCAGATTCCTGATTCAATTCCCTCTTGATGCTAGTGTTTGGGCACGGTTTCAAAAAAAAAAAAAAAACTGTCGATGACAAGCATGAACTTAATATACAGATTCAAGAGATTTTTTAATTACCTAAAGACTTCGTGATATTTTAATAGGTTTTTTTTTTTTTATTATTATTATTATTTTATTTGATTTGATTTATGTCGTACTAGCAGCATGGGCCGGCGTTGCCCGTGCTTGATTCAAATATCGTACGACTCATACAGCAATCGCTATCACTTGACTTAAAATATTTTTCCCTTCCTTGCCTTTAAAGGAGTGCCTTTTGCCGTGCTGATGTTGCTACATGCCTTACTTCTTTCCTATCTCACACTGCAAATTTTTTCTAAGCTCTATACTAAACATTAAATCTGTTACGAAAAAAGAACTAAACAAAATGAACACAAAACCGATCAGCTTTAAAAAGGACTCGTAACTGGAAAAACCGAATGAAAAAAGAATGTTAACAACAAATACTTTTTTCACACCCAACCCAGTTCTGCGGAATTAGAATCAACGTTGAGTTTAAGCAAGCGAATGAGCCAATTGGAGTAAAGTGCCATGCAGATTTAACATGTAAACTACCGTAGAAGCATGAAAAATCGATTATTTCCATTATCGATGGGAGTTGGGAAATGCAAAGTCGGTCTTGGCTTTTCCGCTAACTTGGAGCATGTGAATGTAAATTTTGGTGCTAATCCGTCGAAAATTGCGGCCGTGCATTCGTTACACACACACACACACACACACACACACACACACACACACACACACACATCCTGTTTTTTATAGATAGAGATTATTATTGATATAATGGAATATTCATACACCTAAGTTCCCTCTCACTGGAATATGATTGGGTGGTGTCCGGCATAAATACAGACAGACGTGTAGGTACGACGGAGTTTAAGACTATGACGACGCCCATTGGACTACGTCATTGGCTATCTTATTGGTCTACACCTATTACCTGTGAGTACGACGAGTACCAGTCGATTACTGCTACCGTGTACTATTTGGTTACAGTAGCCAAAACCACTTAGCTACTTCGATCAAATATATCCCTTTCCGGGACATATCAATTATTATAATAGTATGTCGTATCATTTTGCCAGAGAGTAATTGTAAGTGTCTACTACCAACTCCCCTCCGTAGGCGAGTTTTCTATGCACATTTGAGATTTCAGGTTTAGGTAGAGGGGTTTTTTCGGATGTTATGTGAGATCCTCATTTCTTTCCGGGTCACAACCCGACACCTAATGTAAGAAATGGCATCATGACTTTTTAACCGACTATTTTTTGAGGGAAAAACACTACCTAAGATCACATATTTTACATAGATAACGTCATTCGTAAGGTGTGAGCTTTACTTTTTTTTGTATTTCTTTAAGGCATGGACTACCAGGAATCCCTTCAATGAATCTATTGGAATATTTTTCCAATCAATCCGAGGGCTCCAACTACAACTGGAGTTGTTGCTGTCCTCCTGTGCCATGCTTTGGCGATTTCGATTTCAAGGTCCTTGTATTTTGATAAAGAGGCACATCAAAATAATAGAAGGAGGCATATTTTGTCTTTGCGTTCTCTAATCCCGTTGTCAGGGCGATGAGTTTTGATTGTTCTGTCTGTGTTTATTTTAAAGTCCCATAAAATTGTTACAGGTCCTATGTCTGTAACCGAGTCCGCGGGATATTTATACCAATTTCTTGCAGTTTCCCTTCCGTAAGCGCTGCAGATTTTCTAGTGCATGTTTCATTTTGGGTTAGTAGTTAGACACGTGTCGGGTTTTATAATCAATGGGTGTCAATACATTATTATTATTATTATTATTATTTCCTTTGATTTCTGGTGTGTACACATTTCTTTCCGGGTCCCGCACAGAGACCTAAGGTTAAAAATGGCATCATGATATTTTCCACTGAACAATTAAAAAATAAAATAAACACAATAATATCTTACTAAGATCCCTTTGTAAGGTGTAGGCTGTACTTGTGAGAACAATTTTTTGATTTCTTTAAGGCGTGGACTTTCAGGAATCATTTCAATGAGTCTACTGGAATCTTTTCCAACCAATCCATGGGCTCCAACGACGACAAGGATTGTTGATATTCTCATGTGCCACATTTTTGAGATTTCGATTTGAAGGTCCTTGCATTTTGATAGCTTTTTGAAGATTTCAAAGATACACTGCAGTCCTCAGGGACTGGCATATCAATAAGGAGGCACGTTTTTATTTTGCGTTCACTAATAACAATCTCTGGGCGGTTACCTTTGATAGTTCTGTC